TGAATTGTTCTATGATTCTATGATTATCACAACTGTAGGCCCATTCCCGTGTGTTACATCTTTGGGGCTCCTTGGTCATCCGTGCAAGCTCGTTGCAAGTTCTTTGGAGCTACCTGGGTGTAGTTGGTTCTTTATTAGTCTCTTCCCTTGTCCTGTGACTAATGAAGGTGAGCAGAAGGGATTGTGTGGTCAGGCAAACAAATGCAGTGTTTATCTGAGCAGTGCCATCAAGGAGCTCCTCTGCCTAGTAGAGTTTGAGTCCTGCTTGTAGTTGCAGGGTTGGTTCCAAACGCAGCAGGTCGGCATGTTCTGTTTGCAGCAGGGCAGTCCATATGCTCTGACTGCATGTCACATCCCGCCCAGGAGAGGGAGGGACAAGTAACTTAGATTCCTAGTGTCCCAACAGTGGGGACTGAATGATAACCAGGAAAAGACCAGGCACACAACAAACTGCAGCAAGCTGCGGGTTACTTAGTGACAGCAAGGAGATAGCACAGTAACAACTTCTAACAGGCAGTGTTATACTGAACTATGAGAAATAAGCTTAAGCATAAAGTAAGCAAGCAGTATGACAGGCCTTGCACTACGTAGTGAGAAAGGGGAAAGAGAGAGAGAGAGGAAAGAGAGAAGGGGAGAGAAGGGGAGAAAGAGAGACCAATCACCGATCCGGATTCCTATGTTGGACCCACCAAGGAAGGTTGGTGGTAAATGAGAATTTCATTGATGCAGACGTCTACATTTTGTGTTGGCATTGCTTCTGCACCAAGCTTCTTGAAGCAGTTTTCAGCCTGCCTATTTGAGATGTATTTGCTGCTGGTGTTAATGGTGTAAATGAAAGCTTTCAAAGGAGACTTGGAAGGGACCTCAGTCTCTCTGCACTGCATATTTCTTTTAGTGGCAAAGTAAATGAAAGAGGTAGAGTACTTAAAATAGCATCCTTTCTTTCACACAGCAAGATCTCATGGGAAACTAGTATGTCTCTAGTGTTGCATGTAGATGGCAGATTTCTCTGCCCTGTGGCTGAGACCAAAAAAATACATGTGGCCTCAGAGCTGGATGTTTTAGGCTGGGCTCAGTATCATGCAAGGTGCAGCGACTTGACTTCCAGAGCACTCAGCCAGTAGGTGGAACCAGCTTATCATGTGTATTCCAAGTGTGGCTGAAGAGAGACAATACATATGCATGCCTGGTTTACTTTGTCTTTAGGATTTTTAGCACAGTGCCACATAGTAACACAGTCTCTTAATTTTTCTCTTATTTCTCCAGCCCAATTCCAAGATGTCCATGGTGGCTAGTGCAGGTGCGGATGGGGCAGGCACAGCTGGTGCAAGTGTGGTTCCTGCAGCTGATAAGTCAAGCACTGAGGTTGGTCAACACAGTCCTCGGGAAAAGCATCCATTATAATAATGTCTCAGGAAGTATTTCTCTCTGAATCCATTTAGAAAAAATAAATAGATGACTGCTGAGGTACTGCGATGTAGTAGTTATGTACAGTGGTGAAGGGCTATGTGACAGAATAGGTAACAAACTAGTGGTGTGTCATTTGTGTTTTGTCAAACAGGCCTTATTTAGAACCATTTTTACCACAGCTAGCATAAAATTAATTACTCTTTATCTTCAGTTACATCTGTATATGTATGTGTGCATATCAGCTGGTGTAAACACAAGTGATATTGTCACTGACACTGGGGCATGAGCTCAAGAACAGTTCTCACTGAAAAATCTAGCAAGAGCAGGAATTACTGAAAGAAAGCTTTTGATTTGATTTCCTGCAGTTTTCTAACGATTCATCAGATGATTCAGACAAATTTTTCTTTCTACAGCATGATAACTTACATAATGGTTTCTTTATTTTTTAGCCTGGTATGGATGAGTCAGCACTAGATAGCCTAATAGATACTCTAGGTGGACCTGAAGAAGATGTGCCTCCTAGTCCTGTTTACACTGGTCCAGAAGTTACGGTATTTCACATTTTTTATTTTTTAGAAGATTAATCTCTAAAATATCTCCATAGTTGCTTGCTACTGCATTGATTCAGTATTTGTTGCTTTGGTCTGTTAAGAGGTAAAACAGAGTTTGCACAGTTGCATTTTAGTGCTTTCGGTAATACGGAAAGGAAGCAGTTATGTAGGTACTGCCATAGAAAACAGTAAAATGTCAACAAAAAAAGTTTTGAACTGGCTTCCAAGCATGGTCTCCAGTACATATACAAAAGGCAGTGATGGAGGTGTAAGAAGGTGCAGTACTCAGCGGTGGAAAAGTTTTGGAATTTATAAGTATTTCAAATTCAGTCTAGGTACAACAATACTTTCTGTGGCCTGAGACACTGAAATGGCTGATGTTAATGCAAAGGGAATCTGAAGCCAGCTGAGATAAACATGCATGACACTGAGTTCTGAAAGACACTGCGCAGTCAGGGTCCAGGACTGGCCCTCGTACTGAGGCAACCCTCATGCTTTCTTTCCAGAAGTATCTCTATAGATAGCTCTACATTGCAAGTTTACTTCAATAAATAAGAATACAAAAATGTTAATGCATGCATTCTTTTCACAGGAAGATATATCTTCAAGATACTTGGAAGAAATGGGTAAACGGGAAGGTAGTCTCCCTCCAGAGTACGTTAAATTGCTGAAGGTTAGTGAGTTAAACAAAAAAAATAATTTCTTGTGTGTGTTTTCTTGCATATTGTATGATTTTGATTCTCATTTGGTACAAATTCTCATTTTAGAGCAAAGGGGATGGCAAAGATGGAGTCCCACCAAAAGTAGATGAAAAGGATGAAGTAAGGCTTATTTTTTATATATTGTAAGTTGAAAATAACCCAATTATGATTCAGTTCCTAGGAAAATTTTGATGTTGCCTGTCTTCCAAAAATCCCAGGAAGTGGGAGAGGTCTGCAGGGTGCCAGATATCATAGATACTTAAAAAAAACTAAATAGAACTTGGCACAGATGTTTCTAATAAAGAAGTAGGAATTTGAAGCTGAAACCAGTTAAATAAATGCTCCCAGAGACATTTGATGTAGTAATAACAAAGGGAAGAAATAATGTCTGTGTGTGCAGGAGTCTCTTTGTTACGTCTTTAGCAAAGATTACTTGAATTTCAGTATCTAGCAAGAGAATTCTGTAAGCTGGCTTAATTTTACTGTTGATGAGTTTAACGTGCAAAAATAAAAGCTTACCTGAAAAATGAATCAGCCAGTGAGGGAAATACCTTTGTTTTTCCTGTGACAGCAGTATGTGCTCATGAGGTCACTGAGTGAGAGAATATGGATCACATCCCAATTTTAAACCAAGTGTGACAGCACTGGTATTTGAACTCCAATAATCATAACCTAGTTTGCAATTTCTTGCTCAGAAGCCGATGACAGATGACGAGCTCGCAGAGGCCCTGTCATCTGACTTTACCTGTAGTGCTGCTGCTGCTGAAGAAAAGAACACAAGTCTGACAGAGGTACTAATACTTTTCTTGCCATTGCATGCCTTTATTGCAGTGAAACTTTGCCATTATTATCTTAATGTTTCATGTTAAAACGTTCTTGACAATGTTAATCTTTTTATTTTTGCATGCTTCTCTGTAATCTCATATCTCTCATAGAAGCCAAGTAAGGAGGGAGAAATTGTGCAAGCTCAAGCAGCAAGTTCAGTCAAGACCTCAACTCCTCCTAAGGAGAAGAAAACAAAATCGAAAGAGGTATACACGTGGTCACTTTCTGGCTGGTTAACTTCGGATTAAAATTTACAAGCACATGTTTTATTTTATGTATGCCTGATCTTGTAAAGATGCTCATGATCCTTGTTTTCAGTTGCAAATCCTGTTTATCACAGAAAGAATACTGATAACAGGAAACTGCCCTTGCTCAGACTCTGCTGTACCTTAGAGATGTTGCCTGTGGGTCACATAGTTTTTCTTCTGCGTTCTTCTGACTAGGGGAAATAAAGTAGGAAAATTTAGGTTATGTGCAGTGTGTTTAAAACTTGGACATGATGTAATTTTCCAAACCTTTCTTTTCTTTGCTCTGAAGAGAGCAAGTGTGACGTTATACAGTCTGGGTTTCCAATGTCTAACCGTATGGCAATTCTGTTGTGTGATACTGTGCTTTTTTTGCTGGCTTTCTTTTTTCTTTTTTTTCTTTGATTTGCCATATCCTGCAAATGTGAAGTTAAGGAAATTGGGTGATGCCAAACAGAAATGACTGGTCTGGTGCTGGCTGTCTGCTTCTCATACAGCGTAAAAGATATGTAAGGTAAAACTTGTGTTAATTTAAAGAAAGAATGAAATGGTTTGCATGTTTTTCTTAAATACAGGAAATTGCAGCTGATGCAGTGGATGCTCTTCTTGATACTCTCGGTGGACCTGAACCTGAACCTGAAGAAGATGTTACTCCTGTTGTAGAGGTGACAGAGGTACAATCTTCCTGCTTTTGGACTTGCCCATGGAACCCAGAGTCCTCTTGGCTAGATACTGTACAAAAGTGTAAAATAGTAACAAAGTTACAGATCGCTGTAAGGAAAGTCTGAGTCTTGGGCGACTAAGAAAATTAAGAAATCTCAAGTAGATACAGGTAGAGTAGAATATAGTAAGAAGGTAAAACGATGAGCGTTCCATCTGGCTGTACAGTAGCTGTTAGCTACACTTGCTTGTTTTTTTTTCCTGAGCACTGGATACAATTTTAAGCAAGCTTTTGCCTGTATTTGCCATTCAATTTCTTTTAACTTTTCAAGTTCTGGGTGCATTCCTCTTTCCATGAGACCCCATTATCCTTCTAGTTTGGGTCTTGCCTTTCTCTGTGTTTTCTAACACTTTTGTTTTTCTTCAACAGTTAGATTTTAGCAGTAGCTCTGTGTTCATAAGCTGTACTTGTTTAGTGTTAAACTTCTTTTAGTTTTGCAAACTCTGCCTGTAACCCTGCTAATATGAGTTATTTCCCCTGTCTTGACATACATCTCAGAGCAAACACATGGCAGGGAAGTAGCAGAAAATCGTTTGTTGCCAAGTGAAGATGTTGGAGCTCAATTTTGACCAAAAGAAGCGTGTTGTATGTTGCAGATTGAGTCAGTCGAGGCCTTCACATGACTTCATGAAGGAGCTCCAGAGAACTGAAGGCTGTGTTTCACTAGCAGTGATGGAAAAAGATAAAGAATTATGGCTTGTATAATCAGAGTGATGAAATCCAAGGAAGCCTGAGGATTTTGTACACTCCCAACATTTGAAAAGTACTTGCCACAAGTACTTGCTCTACATGGTGGTTGAAGTTTTTTGGAATTTAAAATAGCCATATTCACTTATGTCATTGATTCTTAAACCATGATGATTTTACCACAGAAATTTGATATGAATATATTGAGGAATTTTAGTATCTTTATATATGGAATAATCTTATCTGATGCTAGTACTTTGTCGAACAGTAGGCTGAAGAGTCTTGTTAGTAAACTTAAATGCACTTTGAGTTTTTATTTTAATTTCTCTAAGTATTTTTTTTGTTCTTTCTTTTTAAGGCAAAAGCTAAAGAGAAAAAAGAAGAAAAGGTTGGGGAACGTGAAGATACGATACCTCCAGATTACAGGTTAAAACCGGAGTTGGTAAGTTTTTTCATCTCCATTGCTCTATAAATAGGGCACTGCATCTCACGCTTCTTTTGGGCATGGAAAGAGAGTGGGGAAGACAAGCAAAACAAGTATTAATCAGTGGCTTTCTCCTGTTGGTGATTTCTGTCTCTAGTTTCCCTCCTTTGTGGTTGTGACTGGTTTTTTCAGGCATTCTGAGCAAAGATCTGATCTTCCCAGGGCACACATTCCTTCTCCAAGAGTGGTGTTTCTTGTGTCTGATGTTTGACCTCAGTGCTGTAAAATCCATGCCTTTGCAGAAGCGCTCTTGGGTGTCACTTTGTAACATAACCTTGAAGCATTATTGTAAAATGGTGTGAAAATGGCACTAATTTTTTCAGATTGTCACTTCAGGTGATGGAGATCAGTTCAAGGTTAAGTGAAACAATAGACTTGAGGTGTGTTCCATAAAGTTCAGAATTGAAAATGTCCTTTATTAGCATAACTGATGTTAGCAAGGTTGCTGTATAAACTGGCCTTGCTGGGGCTGAATGTTAATGTTCTGTTTTGGAAGGAGCAGTTTTACACCTCTTTTTAGAGATTTCAAGACTGCCTGACTGCAGAGCTCAGATTTAACCCCCCCATTTGTTCGAGTGCAAAAGCTTGTCTTTTGCACTCAAAGCTTGTTTTACTACTGGATGAATTCTTCCTGGGTTACTGTGGAGTTAACTCCTGCTGCCTATTGACACTGGTAGGACTGAATACCTTCTGGTCTCTCAGCCCATCTGTATTGTGCTACATCACATTTCCCTTTTATTTTTTGTCTACTTACCTAGCCATGTAAGAATTGTCCCTCTTTAGAGGAATTATTGTTACTTTGTCACTGATTTCATCTTGTGTATACCATTTATTTTGTATTATGTTGCTGATTATGGAGCATGGCACATCTTATAGCAATGGATGATAATATTTACTTTGCTTTTAGGATAAAGATGGAAAACCAATATTGCCAAAGCCTGAAGAAAAACCTAAGGTTAGAAAACTGACAATATTGTACAAGCGTGAATAGATAACTGTTTTCTCCCTCTCTGTCATTACTTTTCTCTCTGCTTGTGTGTTTACTTGCTTGAACAAAACCTGCAGATCCAAAGTGTGAAGTGAAAGTTGGTTTTATTGAAATTCACTGTCTCCGAATGAAGGATTCGTAGTAGGAGAAAGGTTTAAAGACTGCTAAGATAGGAGAGGGTTGCAGAAATGACTGCTGACACAAGAAGACTCTGTGGGGAGTTAGTGTGAGGTACTCTGTACACGTCTGCTAGAGCTGCTGAATGACAGGGAGAGGTGAGGCAGGAAAATCCTTTGTTTTTCCTGACAGTTTCCTCTCATTAGTCATCAAATATAGAGGAACATGATTGGGAAGAAAAAGAAAAAAGCTGCTGTGGGCATTTTCATGATCACAAAGAGCAACTTGGACTTCACAAAAAGGATATATCGTGGCTTAGAAAGTGCGAGATAGAATGAAAATTTGTAATGTTACAAAGATTAATTTAAAGTGCACAGGAGGAAAGCAAAAATTGGGAAAAGGAAAGGAACAGTGCACTGAAGAAACTAACTGCTTTACTTTGCAAAGGCTGTGAGTTGAGGAGTGCTGCTGAAATCAGAGAAGTATGCGAAATGAGTGTGAAGGTCAGGACCAATATGACGACGGCAGCACTGTGCCTTTTTGGCACAGTCATTTGTATTACTCAAGTGTGAGATACGGAGGAAGACAAAGGCAACGATGAAAAGACTTTGTCTCGAAAAACTTACATGTCAGGTCTTAGACATGCAGTCGTCTTGAGTGGGTGATGTGAGAGCTGCACTGAAGGAACACCCACCAAGCATGTCACAAGGAAAGAGGAGCCAGGCACTCATGTGAGGAGACAGTCCTTCCTTTCTCACAGGGAGTGCCGAAGAGGTGGCACATGCACAAAAAAAAAGCTCCAGAGGAGGATCGTGGCATGAATTAAGGGAATTTGTTCCGTAGCTTGACAAAAATCTGGTACAGAACTAAAGCAGAAGATGAGTTCAGAACCTTGAGGGCTTATGCTGAGAGAATTAAGTGGTTAGCAGAAAAGTAAGTATTCCTGTGCACCTCCATCAGTCAAATGGTTGTCCTGGAAGAGAACCCCAGGGATATCAGAGTCACATTGCAGTATTTTTCATAGCACTACGTCACTGTTTGTAATTTGAAGAAAGTGATTTTGAGCAAGACGTGTTCGCCAGTATTCCTGTGATATCGCCAGTATTTTAGATCTGTGAAAACAAAACAAGGAAAACCAAAAAGGTTATGTCATCAGACCTGGCAGTGCTGGGTTAGCAGCTGGACTCAAAGATCTTTAAGGTCTTTTCCATGATTCCTGTGGGCAAAGGAAGGAAAGTGGGGGGGAAATAAGAGACTCATCGTACACATTTACTCATTTTACATACTATGAATTTAACCAAATGACCCCTAGCCAGTTAAGTTCCATGTAGCAAATGAATGGCAGTGAATGCTAGCAAGGATTTAACCATTTGGGTATAAACAGAAGGATCTCAGGAGCATTAGTAATAGATCATAGAAATGTATAGTACACATAGTACTAGATCACATAGTATCAACAGGTTGTAGTAGGTCACAGAGCAGGGAACTAAAACTGCCATTTGTTCACTTTTCCCTGAAACGTGTGCAGTGAAAGCCACACAGAGAGCTTCCATGTGACATCGCCTCTCAGGGAACTCTGCTTCTGCTGGAGAAAAATAAAAAAAATAATAAAATGGGAGAATCATAATCTGGCGGTGCTGCTTTCTATTACCTGTATGTATTTTATACTTGAAATATTATAACAACTTAATACTGTTATAGTAAATAGTACCTAGTAAGTACTATCATATTTTTTTCCTAGTGGAGAAGTGGTATTTTGCTTTTCAGTAGCCTTGCAAACAGTATTGAACATGATGTTCTCTACATTGTACTGACTTTTGATAACAAGACAACTGACTCATTCTGAGAAGCGATTTTATTAATTTTTAAGTACTGCAACATTCATGCTGTTTTCTTGCACATAAACGTGAAAAGTTGTTTTGGTTTAGGCTACAAAAGTTTTCCTGCTTTTTGAGTAATTGAAATATAAATCTTGAATAAATAAATTAAAAACAGGCAGTGAGTCACCTATACCATGTCTTCTTTTTTTTTTTGCAGCTTTTGAGTGAAACCGATCTTGTTGATGAGTTTTCCAAAGACTTTGCCTGCCCTGCACAGCCAGTAGTACAATCCAAACCATCGAAGCCCAGCAGCACATCCAAAGTACGTCTTTCTAGTTCACTGAAGATGCCGACACTGATAGATTTACTAAGACTGGATAGTGCTGTTGTTCTTTAAAGAAAACTATTTTCTTCTGTTTCATTTTTTTTCCCTGCTTTTGCCCTCAGTGGAACGTACAGTATTGGCACTTAGTCCTTAACTGAGAGGTTTTTACCTTTAAATTTAGACTTTTCTTTCTCATTTTGTACTGTATTTAAAAAAAACCAAAGCAACCAAAAAACACTTTAACAGGTACATTTAGGATTTCTGAGCATATTCAGTAAAACGCAGTGTAACTGTTCTCTTTCAGAAGCCTTCAGATCCAGCGTCTGCAAAAACTACTGAGGCTGAAGTAGTCCCTCGAGCCGCAGCTTGCACTGTGCAGTCTTCAGCTCCACCAACTGTGTCTTCAGTGAGTAGTCTTGGCTGGAGATAAAGCAAGGCTCAGTGCTTCTTATGTGTTGGTATAGCATGTTGTTGAGACACTAATTTCAGTATTGCGTGTCCTTCCTGTGTAGAGGTAAGCCACAAAGGCTGAGCACTTACAGAAAAATCAAGTCCAGCACAAACTGAATGGGGAAGGTCAGTGACCTTAACAGAGGAAGCCACACTGACAGTTCTTGTGGCTTCATTTATCTCTAAATGCTCTAAAACAGATGCTGTTTGTGAACTTAATAGATACTGCAGGAAAAGACAAATTGCATGGTAGAAAATCGAAATTGTCTTAATGTTTTTGGAAAATGGCATTGATGGTTAGTATTCTTGCATTTCTTCTCAAAATGTGTATGCTTCTATTAAAAAACAAAACAAACAAGACCCCTGTGAAACATTTTTGATTTGAGTCAGTGTTTGGAAAGGAGAAGCCTGTTCACAGAGCAACCTCTGTCGAAGTTTGTTGTGCCTTGAACTTGTCAGATTCCAAGCACATGAAGACAGTTAGGGAGAGAAGCATTACACTTTCATAGTTTGCCTCTCAGTTTTTACCTTAAGTGGTGTGTGGCTGGCCGTGGTAGAATATGAAATGGTTTCTTCAGCCCCCAAACTAAGCTAAAACTCAAAGTTGTTTCAGACTGTTATCGTTACCCTGACAGGTTGGTCGCGTGTCAGGTGAAGCTCTGGAAGCCTTGTCCAGCAGCCTGGGGAAGAGGGAGCCTGACACCGGTGAAAAGAAACCTGCTGTGGACAAAGTTAAGGTAGGGACACCATCAGACCTTAAAAAAATACATGTTGGTGTAATTTGCTTCAGTGGTACTGTATTTCCTCAGGCTAGAAACAATTTAGAGATAATATTGTGAAACCAGTTGTGTTCTGCTTAGGGAGTGCTAGTAGCATTTCAACACAGCGAGTACATTTTCTTCGTAATTTTGGTTATCAAAGTAAAGTAGTTCACTCATCTTCTGAAAACTGCATTTTCTGAGTGTCTTGACT